GTGTGTGTGTGTGTGTGTATATATATATATATATATATATAAGAAAAATAAATAAGAGGTACAGCAAATGGAGCATAAATTATGCACCTATTTTTTTTGCTGAATTTATTTTTATTTATTTATTTGGATGTAAAATAGTTCAGGAAACGACATCCTTCAGAATTCATAATCCAAAATTGATGGGAAATATTGATAGATATGTACACAATTAGATAGAACACAGTTATTGAATTTATTACATGAGATGGAATTGCGTACATTAATATTTGCCCAGAAAAGTCCCCAAATGAATTTAATTTAAAGACTTCATATTATTATTGTGATAGATCAAAGGGATTTTTAAAATATATTTTTGAAATATGTCTTTTATGCTCAACAAAGCTGCATTTATTTGATCAAAATTCCAGAAATGATGTTAAAATATTATTATAAATGAAAATATCTGTTTTCTATTGTAATATATTTTAAAATGTAATTTATTCATTATGCTTTAGAAATCTTTCTGATATGCCGTGATATTTTGTGCTAAAGAAGCTAATGGAAAGTTCAAAAGAACAGCATTTATTTGAAATGTATATATTTTGTAACATTATACATGTCTTTACTGCCACTTTTGATCAATTTAACACATGCTTGCAGAATAAAGGTATTCATTTAAATAAAGTATTGATTTATCCATACATTTTTTATTATGAAATTTATGTACAGGTTAGGGATCAAGAATAATTGTTTTTTAATCACATTAATTTTAATAATTTTTCACATACGAATGAATGTGCTGAATGTACCGACCCCAATAATTTCCCACTATAGAGCCAAAACCCTTCAAATTTAGCTGACTTGTGTGGCCATTTCATCAATTTTGTCTGCAAAGTACCTCGCTCCGAAGCTCAGAAACACAAGTGTACATGTGTGCTCGTGTCTGTGTGTGTGTGTGTGTGTGTGTGTGTGTGTGTGTGTTTTTATAATCAATGTTGAAAACACTTGTGCTGCTTAATATTTTTATGGAAAGCAAAATATATGTATTTATATAGTTGACTGTAAGCTGGACATACTGATATGAATGATAACTCAAAAAATGGAACACTGAAAAGTGGGAAGTTATTACTTTTCGAAGCCCTCAGACTTGCAGTTTTTTCCTTGCAGATGATAAAACGGGTCTAAATCTGTCAGATTTACACTGAAGGATGGACAAAAGCCGTATGTAGAGAGTATCAGAGAATAAAGACTTGAAAGTAGACTCTTGACTTGGCTATAATGCGTTAGCAGCCACATAGCAACATGATAAAAACCACTCAGAGCGTATCTGCGCTCCCACTGGCATTCGCTGCGTTGTGTCATTGTGCATTTGCATTATGTTGAACTTTGCTTAACTTCATCTCTCTGGCTAATGCGGCTTCAGATCGCCAGCCCTCATGGAAAATTAATGACTTCTGGTCACTTTGTTGCTGCAAAGCGCTGTCAGTGTGCATGCGCTTAACATGAATGAAATAGCATTTATTGCTTTGGTCAGGACACGGTGTAAACCAAATGCTGACTCTACCCTTACAGATGAAATATGTAATGTTTTCTCTGATTAAATTTCTCCAATCCCGGTTTAATGTGCAGAGTCAACTTTACTAAGCATCACTAGTTTCATTTTCCCCTAAAGGGAATTTGAGCATATTTCGTTTTGCAGTATTTGGAAGATCTGTAAAAAAAATAAATACATTCTAAAAAACACAGTATATATATATATATATATATATGTGTGTGTGTGTGTGTGTGTGTGTGTTTTAAAGCTCTGAAATATCTCTTCAACCAGACACCAAATGAGTTCACAGCTTGCAATAAAATAATATATTGTGACAATCCCCTGCCGGTTAATCTCTCCTCACCTTCTCCACACTCTCTCTCTCTTGTCTAAGTCCCGCCCTCACAGCCGCACATCCAGCTGGAGTCTGATGAGCCGTGGGTGGAGGGAGACGAATACACGGTGACCTGCATCGCTCCTGATGCAAAACCTCCCGCAGAAATCACCATGTTCAGAGGTACGCCGTCGCTTAAGAGCCCAACTCTTTATTACGTCCATCAAGTGGGGCTCTTATGAGAGAATTACACTGTAGATACACAACGCCAATAAACGATGAAAACGCTCGCTGGGAGCTTTCAAAGCAGTGGCTGTAAACTCAAACCAAGAGACTTCATGATTCATTTACTAAGTTTGTGTCATGCCATCCCTTGGCAAGAAGTACCCCGAGGCAGCCTACTAACTCTATAACTTTTCTGTTTTTTTTGTTTCTCTCTTCTTCTTTTTTCTTTCTCAGATGGAGAAGAGCTGACGGAAACCGATTCTTTCACAATGTCAGGCTCACAGGATAAACTTCTGAACACTCATGCTGAAGTCGTGTAAGTCTGTGTGCGAACAATGAAGGTATAGAAGGTTCTTTGCAGTTGAATTCTTGTCACCACTTTAACTTTTATTCTATGTCCTTCACAATTTGTCTTCTAAGGTCATGTTTTATATAGTGTATATACAAAGGCAAAGACAAAAATGTTGGAAGAGTTTGACCTTTTGAAAAACTTTTCTTGTTTTTTCTTTCAATTTTTATTTCACCAACACGTCTAGTGAGGGACAGAGGTGATGTGATTGGACAATAGGCCTTTGGGTATTCAAGCAATATTTCAAGGAACAGTTATCCCAAAAATGTCAAATCTCTCATTTATCCACCTTCATGTCCTTCCAAACCTGTATGTTTTCATTTCTTCCATGAAACACCGCAGAAGACCATTAAACATAGCAGAAGGTCCAGGCTATTTTTCAGTGGCATGCAGTGGTGTTATAAATGTCCTCACATTTTGTTTTCCCAGTCACAAATGATGTCCCAGTCACATTTTCTTGGTTAAGTAAATAAAAATCTATATTGTATTTTTACATTAACAATGTAATTAATAAGCTATTCTATTTATCAAAGCCAAATATAAATCTCATCATTGTTTTTAAGCATTTTACATTTATTCCAAAATAATAACTCAAGGCAGTAAGAAATGTAGGTAACACTTTAGAATAATGGTCCGTTGTTAACAAGTAACTATGCAGGAAGTAATAGGTAGTACTACATTAACACTTAACTTAATACTATTAACTAATAGAGAAGCAAGATTAACTAAGCAGTAAGTAGTAGCAAATTTAGGACAAAGGTAGTTCCTTATTAGATATTTGATAATTACTAAAAAAATATATCCTCATTGAGAACTACTTGTGAACTATGACCAGTTAATAAAGAATAACCAATTAATTACTAATCACAACAGTAACGTCTTAAAAGTGAACAATTGGGTTCTTTGTGGAAACTAATTTATGAATTTGATATCCCCCAAATAAGTCGGCTACATTTTTAAATTGTGACTACTACTCTTACCAAAACCTTCTCAGCAAGCAGGGGCGCCAATTCCCCAATTCCCCACACAGTGAAATGATAGATAACAGAAAACCGCTTCGCGGCAGCGGCGCAGAGGATTTTTTTTTTTGTTTACTGCTCGTGCCGCCCCCCATGTATCATGAAAAAATGCCGCCCCGGGCGGCTGCCCAGTTCGCCCGTGCCAAAAACCGCTACTGGTAGCAGGGTTTGAAATTAACACCCGCCAACCCGCCAAATGCGGATAAAAGTCAGCTGTGGCTGGTAACGCTGTCAAATCACTAGCAAATTTGGCGGGTTACTTTTCGTAAATTATGTTCACTCATTCATTTCTTGGGGAAGTTCATGCAGGCCAAATCTGCGCAGGTTTAGCACAAATACTGAACTCGCGAGACATCGTGACATTATCGAGTATATTGCAAAAAACAAACAAAACACACCTACAGAGGCGTGCATACACGACGTGATGAAGTCTGGTTAGACCAACACACACAGGCTTCAGTACGCGTGCGCATTTAGAGTGGTTCTTTCACTGCATGATTCAGTCTATTAATATGCATTAAGAATGATCACATAATTCAAGATAAGGAGGCAGAAAATGTATATATTTATATCAATTCATATAGGTAATCAATATCACACGAAGAGTGCCGGTTTTTCTTAAAAAATCAGCATGGTTACAAAT